GGAAGACCTCGACTGAGTACCTACTTCGTATATTATGCTTATCAAAATAATAACGTCATTCAAGTCCCCCGTCTCTCTCTTTCAAACGCGTATAGATCTGCGTGCGGTCGTCGTGGGTCGCCGGTGTCGTACCTACGTTATAAACATAAATAAAATGTATCGATGTCGGAAAACGAACGATTTTAAACGACATCAAACGCATAAAATAAATCGTATTACGACCATTATACTATATTAAACACGTGGAAAACGATTTCTCTTCGGAAATATTTTAAACAACAAATACGCATTATATTCGATCATAATACAAGAATTATCCGGTAATTTATGATTAATAATAGGTTAACGACGACGAAGACCACCACCACCCCGTTTTTCCGTAGCAGTAGCTCCGCCGTCGGCTATTATATTGTAATTATTATATCGTACAATGAGAGAATAGCTCTCATTTCCATCGTCGCGTGATTGTTATTATTACACTCGCGAACGGCTCCGGTCGGCGGCGCTCATTAAATATGGGCACCTATCGTGGGCTGTCGCTTAAAAAAAAAAGTACAAACAAATAAAGAGTTATTCGGAATGTTTGCCTGGCTGTTAACCTGGTGTATGTGTTCGTCGGAAAACCGAAACGCTATATTGTGAGACAATCGCTTCGACATTATAATAATAAAATGCGAGCACACGTGCATAATATTATTATATACATGTAGGTACACATACGACATACATATTATTATTATTATTATTATTATTATTATTTTTAATAATAATAATCGATACCGCCTATCATGATACCCGGCATATGTATATATTGTATATTATTATTATGTGATATATTTACTTACTACAATTACTTATTATTATATTATATTGTTGTGTTTTTTTATACATCGCGTAGGTATCCGCAACTCGGCAGGCAGCGTCGCGCATTTCCATTTTTCATTAATTAACGACAGCGGCTGCGGCGCCCGCAGTTTTCCCACGAAAGCTAAAAATGATCGGCCATTGTGCGCGCGAAGGTTTATGTATTATATTATTACTATAATATTATTATATAGATACTCAAGAATATGCATATTACGCGCACTTTTGTGCGCGTGTGCGCGTATTTATTTTTATTCCAACGAGACCTTGTCAAACGACAATTATTATTGTCATGTGATTGTCGTCGACCGTTTTTTACTCAACGCAAGACTACGAAACAATGGCCATAGTCAATTATTATTGCGACGGGTTATAAAACACCGCCGCTGCTACCGCGCGCCGCCGTTGAAGTCCCTGCGGGCCACGAATAGACTACTATATCGGCGTGTACGCATGCATTATAATATGGATATTGAATAAATTATAGACGTTTTAATTACACAAAGTATCGAACAATAAAGTTTACAGTTATACGAGAAAATTGTATTTTCTTGATACAAAACGACTTGTGTCCAATTTAAATTCAAAATTTAAGTATATAGCCGATTATTAAGTACCTAAGTTATTTTGTTGCCCAGAATTATTATGCTGAGAATAGCAGGTTACTTACATTCAATAATACCAGCCTATATAATATTTATAATATCATAAACCATATAACTATCGGTTTTAATATTCATATAAATGGAAAAAAATTAAATGTTTTAATTCGTTTTAAAAAGAAACAAAACTAACTAATACATTTTGTGTATAAGAAATAAAAATGTACCCGACGAGGTAATAATATTATATTTGAATAAAAATATATGAATTTTAAAGTTTCTTGATCATTGAAACACAAATTATGAAATAGAAACTAATAAGTAATAATTAACTAATTCAATTATAGATAACACGGTACCTATGTTTAATATTGATATAATTACTACCACGTCTTTTTGATTAAAAACTAAAAATTTCCACTAAGATTTAATAATGGTTTACTTATTATATTGTTATAATAGGGATAGGTACTCCGTTATTGTTGGTCTACGACTTACGACTATTTATGTCAAATAAAATATAAAATGTATTTATACAAAATATGAAATGTGATTTGTGGGACACTTATGTGAACCCGTATATATCTGTAGTTATCTTTATATTCGTACTTATATTTTATAATAATATGTAACTTGTATGAATAATATTGTGAATCAGTTGGTGATAAATTATTTTTATTGTAATATAAACAAGTAGTTTAATACGATAAATTATAGAACATTTATGAATTACAAATCGTCCGTGATTGTAAGAGATGTATGCAAATATATTTAAGCAAAACAATTAAAATTATTATGAGCATTTTGTGAAAACCAATGCCTGTTATGAATTTATGATGGACAATTATTATTCTGACCAATGCATTAATGAAGAAACTTTAATAAACAATAAATAAAATAATAATACTTGGTTAATTTTGTACTTTTTAATTACCCATGGCTAATATCCTGTGTCCAGGTAAATTGTAGTAATTATAATTCACACCTCTTCGTCAATGTTTATTGATACCGAAGAATTAAATATAAATAAGTGTATTATAGTATACCTATGTTGTCGTCGTCGTATATAGACTGCGCAGTTAATTGTCTGAAAGAGGTGATGGGGCGGCGCGAACGAAGTGTTTTATAATATGTACAATAATAAAAATAGTAATAATAATAATAATAATAATATTATTACAATATATTAGTCGGATAATAAAGCAAAGTATAGTGATTTATATATTTCTACCTAATGCCAAGGTCGTGGCGCAAACACGGTGCGCCGGAGCACTCTGCTGCTGGCCAACAACAACAATAGCCACTGTAATATATATACATCTACAATACCACATACGCGTGTTTAATAATATACTTTATAAATTATTACAATACATAGTCACTATACGACGAGTCGATAACAGTAAGGCATCAAAGCGAAAATCCTACAAATTTAAGTCGAAACTGTGAAATTGTATAATAAACAAAACGCAAATATAAATGGACAGTTAATAGTAATATCATAGAACAATAATATATCTATTTCGAAACCACCTATTCTGCGATGCACAGATCGAGTTACGATTGTTGTATATTTTACTCTCAGTTTAAGACCATCGTAATTCTGCTCACGGTTGCAACATAGGAGTATAGGGAAAAATGAGTTTAATACGTAAACAATAACTGAAACGATTTCGATGACGGAAATCATATGTTGAGACGAGATCGGCTGGATGCCGGATCCGCCGAGAAGGTATGAAAATAATGTACCTAATACTTGCGTCTTGCTGATCCTACATGGCATCGTTTTCCGTGAAATATTAAACGATTGCCACAGTGGATTTACCGCGACTTAAAATCCGTTAAGGCGTTAAATAATATGTAAAGACAAAATATATAGTTATAATACAGTCAATATCGAGTGGTTTTGATATTACTTATTGTACAATATGTCAATATTATTGTGTCTACCTACCTAATTATTATGGCTAAATAATAACGAAAAAATACCCAAAAAATACTCGCTCGAGTTCTTCTTTAAAATGCAAATATTTAAAAAAAATTGATTTCGAAGTGCACATCCTCGAGGATATAGGGTTACTTATGAGGTATATACCAAACGTTGGAGCCATAACGAGTGCGATGGACTTGGGGCTACTGTGGATATCTCACAGCTGAGTGCTGGACAATGGATATATATATTTTACTGAGGACAACGACGAGTACGAAAAATGGAGAAATTCATGACCATGTGTTAAGGATATTAAAAATCATATCAGTGTACCGGAATTATAATCCTGCAGCGTCCTCGAGGTGGTGGACATTAAGCGGCTCGCGCGTCCGAGAATGTGGGCGAACTCGACGGCGGTGATGTCCACTGAGCGTATATTATTGTTTTTATTATTATTATTCTCATAATATCATATTGTGTTCCCGCCGAGAAAATTATTTACTCGTCTCGTGTATTATAGTACGCTTTCAGACGGTATAAAAAAAAAATGATAATAATAATAAAACCGCACATTTATAACCTACACGTATTATGGGACGATAATATTATTAAGTATTGCAACGACACAAACGCCACGGACTCGGTGTACCCATATAATACCAGGTACGTACCAGATATACCTACAATAATAATAATCATATAACATAAACGGCGACGGCGGCGGGTTTTTTTTTCATACGCCGGGAGCCGGCAACTGCTGTTTTTTTTATCATAATAATATATAATAATAATAATAATAATAATAATTATTATTATTATTCTTTATTTATCTGCTAACGACGCTTATTATTATAACCCAGTTGTTGTGATACCTATACCTACGCCGCGCACACGGCGACCGTATCGCGGTTACGGCTGCTGGGTAGTTACCTATATAATATAATATGTGACAAGAAAGACGCAGAGAGAGAGGATAAATAAACGATAATATTATAACGTCGCGGCGGGTTTCGCCCACGTCGTGACAAATTGCACATTTATCCAACAAAACGCGTATATGATATCGTGTGCATTTTATTATTATTATTATATATATTATATAGGACACTCTCCAACACACTGACTCCCGGCGATGTGTCCATTGCTTAAATTGTATTTAAATTTTCACTAGAGATACCCGTAATAATAATAAAGAAAATGGCTGCGGGGAAAGCGCGCGATTTCGTTGCCGGGATTCCCGGATACCACGGATGCGCGCGGTCAATACCGCGAACCGAGTATCGCGACAACCGCGAACCGCGTATGGGGACGACCGCGGTCCCCGCACTGTGCGTGCAATTTTCGACATTTTTGGCGTTCCGAGAAGCTACATTGGCACGAAGAGCTCGGCGGTCTCTTTTGTCGTCGGTGAAAAACGGGCGGGAAACGGCGGCGTTAAAGTCGCGGGCGGTCGGATGGCGGTGTATATATATAGGGATAAAATAGTACGACTAGTAATTATTTTTTTATTATAGCACCAAGCATGGCGCATTCAATTAAGGGATGATGTGTGTTATCAAAATCAACTACAAGCTACACATATATTATACGAAAAGTACACCGACCTTGTTCAGATGTGATATCCTGCTGCGCGTAAATCCTCCGCGGGGACGGTCTGGCGCCGGGTGTTCGGCCTTTGCGGCGTCGGCGGGGCAGATCTCGCGACGGCGACGACGACGGTCAAGCCGGAAAACCACGCACGCACACTGTTTCGACACGGGGCGCACTTGGTCGAAGGGCGAACTGTATTGGAATATTGAAATATAAATATTATTATTATTACTGCGCCCGACGAAAATGCCGAGACGGAGACGGAACCAAAATCGGCTGCGGGCCAAAAACGAAATATAGGTACGTATTATTATTATTTTTATTATTACTGAACACGCACAGACGGCGATGGATTCGACGCACGGCGATAGATTTTACGCGCGACGACGGCGCCGCGGACCCGCGCACACGGTGTACAGACTGCTGATATGATATCAAACGAAACGCACGGAACCGGAGCTCCGAAGACACTGAATGCTCATCGGACACGGAGGGAATCTTGAGCAGGTGTGAGACGAGATCAACTTTATTCTCCTCCGTCCCATTCTTGCCGGTTGCGCGCGCGCCCGCGCGTGTGTGTGCAGTCGCTGCGGCGGCGGGTGACCGGCAGTGCCTAGTCAAACAAGTTTTCGTGCCCGTGTGTGTGTGTAACTGACGGGGTGCTGGTGAGTGTGCGTGTGTGTATTCGCGTGCGCGTGCGTGCGCTAGCGAGCGTTCGGCCGCGGCGGACGACAACAGTACTTCTTCGACGACGACGACGACGTTTCACGTAAACAACGGTAGTTCTTATATTATTATATATTTTATAGGCACGCTCGATCGAGTATCGCCGGTATCGGCGCCTCCGAGCGAGAGGGGCGTGGGTAAGCGATTGGTGTTCGAGGGAGGGCGGAGAGGGAGCGATGTTTGCACGCTGCCTGCACCGTCGCCGCCAAATATGTTTTGAACTTTCGTCCACCCGACGGTCATTGTATGTTTTATATTATACCATTACGACTAACCTAACCTAACCAGATGCGTCTTAAAATCCACGGTTGTCACGGTCTCGCGCGTTTTTTGGTTCTTGGCACTCGAACGACCATCCCATCAAACCGCCTTTAAGACGCTACGGTACAGTGACCTCCAAAAAAGTGATTGAATAAACAAACTATAAACATAACACGTCATTTTGTTCCTAAAGGTTTCCGCAACTGTGTGGCTTCCCTCCTTTTGTTTGCATCGTGTATGTATGTCAATAATTATTATTATTATTAGGGTTGCAATAAGGAATAACATGTTAATATTATATATGTTTATGATTTTGTATATTTTTTTTTTAGGTTGTCCTGTTGCATGTAGGAATTTGTTTCATCGTGTATAGATTCAAAATTTTATTTTGCATATATTTGCATAATTTTCAAAATTTAGCATATAAGTGCATTTTCTGGTTTTAATCACTTATTTTATGGTTTTCGATACGAAATATCAAAAAAACGTTAAATAATTTATTTAGTAAACGTTTTAGTCAACTCATTCACTTACTGTGTTAAAAAAAATACAGGTTGTACCTTTTTCTTTAAATAAATAATTTAAAAAAACCTACTTAGTACCAGGTACCTACTTTACGTAAAACGGTTTTCCTCTCGGCCCGCAACGTCCGTTTCTTTTTTTCGTTGAACTAAAATATGCTCACCGTTTTTAAATATATCACATACATCCATATAGGTACACGAGCAATCAGTCCGACGTCTTGTTGTATTGATTTTTCCAATAGAAATACTAATTACAGCTAATTAAGTCCCTGGAAATTTCCCCATGAGTATCGAAATCTATCTTAAGTGGAGTTGAGCTTGTTGGCCGACTACCGAAATATAATGGGAGGGGGCAGACCAGTGGTTGTCATATGGATGGTTTTCGGGTGCTTAGTGAAAAAACTACTTTTCTGGAAAAGCTAAAAGGTTAATTAAATTAAATTCTTAAGATGTTTTTAAATTCTGTTTTCGTATCTCTTTGAATTATATTTTTATAAAATGTTTCAAAATTTAAAAAATTAATTAATGCTACTTTTTACTTTAAGTCTGATGACTTATTGTAACTATCTGCATAGCAACATAACTGTAAAAATGACTTTTATTTTATTTTGACTTGTGACCATTCACCATTCTAAAATATATTCAGCAATATTATTATTATTTATATTTGTTTCTCAAAAAAGAATACTGTCAATAATAGTAACATTTAATATAAATATTATTATTCTGTATATTATGGTTTTTAATTGAAAATTATTGTTATCTCCATGTACAAAATAACTGAGGAGCAATAAAATGTGACAATAAACCGATTTTTCTCACAATACCTAATGGCTAATACAAATGTAAAATATGACTTGTGACCGTTCGATTCGCCTGGGTTAACTAGTACATAGTTTGAACCTTTTGAGTTTAATGTAGGTTCTTATGGGGGGGGGGGGGGCAGATTTACAACACATGTTAGCAAACCTGTGCTGCTGTACAAAGATAATTTCTACTATTCTATTTTTCTAGCAAGACTGTTTTTCCTAGATGAGGCATTAATTCTGTAAATATTGAAAAGGTGATAAATACGATATTATTATACGTCATGATGTTTAAAATAATGCAAGTAAATATTCAGTGTGACTGGACAAAATAAATTTTACATTTTTGTTGTAGGGATGCATGGACACGCTTACATGGATTTGCCAACTAATTTAACACATTTTTAAGTTCTCAGAGAGCGTCTCGACTTCTGGTTATTCGGATATGCTTGACTAGACAATCAGTGCCCGACTGCATTTAATGCTTTAACAAACAATCACAGGTAAATTATACATTAACTTGCATTGAAGACTGAAGACTATAAAATTATTAAAATTCCCGATTGTTTTATTTTATTAGTTTTTAACCAAGTCGTTGGTAATAATGTTGACAAAAAAGTTACTGGCCGAAAAGGGAACGGTAAGTTTTGGCCGAAAAAAACACTGGCCAAAAAGGGCAGGGTACATTTTGGTTGAAAATTGTGACACACTATAACACAAACTATCGTTAAAGATAAATTGAAATATTCCGGTTTTTTTTTACAATAAACCATTCAATAGAATAATTTTAAAAAAAAACATTCATATTATTTGTCCGATGGCGATTGGTTGCTAAATTATTTGTATTTCATACTATTATATAGTTTACAACCCGCCGATACAAGACTCTTCCATAATAGACTATAAATGGTTTGAAAACGAGCAATTCTCACTGCAGCAGTAATTCTTCATACAGCGAATGTAAGTACAAAAATTACGAATAAAAACGTGGACACTGGGCACTAAAATGATGTCACGGGAGACCTTAAAAAAAAAAAACAGAAAAATTAAAAAAAATATATATATAAAAAGACGGTTAATTAATTATTTGGACACATCAAATTAAATAACAGATTAAAATCATATATTTTGTTTCTTTCGATTTCGATTTTGTTTACTCTTTTCTCTGGGATCCGAGTTAATTAAGTCCAGTTTTGAGTTTGACCTATGATTCTACGCACGTACCCGTGGATTTTTTTTCAAAAAACTAATTAAACACAAACCTGCAACAAAATATAATAAACTGTTTAATAATCAAGTTATTCGCTACGACTGAAATTATCAAATCGGTTAATCAACCGACGCTGACTGCCAAAATTTGTTTTCTCTGCACACCTGGTAGATGTTTACAATATGTAAACGGGAGACTTCTTTAGATGCTTTACACCGATCCAACCGGTGTAATTAAAATAAATTTATCGATGTGGTTTTCATTTTTGTTATTTGTGGTTTGAACAATGAAGTGTATTGTAATTTTAATATCAACTCTCTCAAAAAAATATAGATATATTCTGCTTCAAACATTTTAGAATTTAAATCGTTTTAGGATTGGCATTCGAACAGTTCGTATAATATCATAAACAGCGCCTACGATCAGGATAGATAAAAATGTATAGTTTTCTTCAAACCCGAAACAGTATGTGATGTAATTTAAAATTGGAACTTTTTACTAAGAAAACTTACATAACAACTGAGAAATGAGTTTAAAATGACTGCCACCGAATATATACCTAAACTTAAGATACACATGAGATACATAATATATACAATTAAAACTTTTCATTGCTAACGCTTTCTCGTTAAAGTCGAGTTATAATGATGTCTCAAGTAACGATGTTTAAATCTAACGACTCCGAGAAGTCATTTGTTTTAACAATTTTCATCTACTTGTCAAGTTTCTTAACTTATTATTATAATACCTACACCTACACCTATACGGCTATACGTAAGTAGCGGGCATGCATTTCAAATCGACAGATTTTTCAAATACTATGACACGCAATGTGGTTGAATGGCACATATTATAGTGAAACAATTACTTTAAGTTGTTGTTAAAAACAAAATTTCTTTAAAATAAAATCATTTTTTGAAACTAAAAAATAAATTTCTGTAATACTCATAGTTATTTTGATAAGAATAATTTTTGAAAATTTCTATGAAAGTCATATTTTCAGATACTTAAATGTTGATAGATCACGAAAATCTGTTAACTTTTTTGTATATTTAGGATCGCCATTGGTTACAAAAAATAAAATAGTTATTATAAAATCAATGACAACTAATATAGTAAATACACCGATAAAGTTCCATATTTTAAATTTGCTAATTTTTACTCGGGTGAAGTCTATTATTACCAGCTATTATTATATATAACTATCAAACTGGAAAAAGGCTTTATCCAAAAATTAATACCATTTGTGTATAAATTCTTTATATGTTTGACTTTGATAAGAAAAATACATTTTTGTTAAAAATAATTTCCTATATTAGCATATTACTTGGTGCCAAACATACGGAATCGTTTTAACAGCAGAATGATTGGGTCAACTACCTGTGGATTGCAGCAAGTACACCACACGATGACGTGTTCTTAGGATTTGTACGATGTGCAATAAAGATTATTATTAAAATATTTTTTGAATTATTTTTTATGTTTGAATTGAATAGACGATGTATTATCTATTTATTTTTTATGTAATCTCAAGCACTAAATTTGGTATTTTATGTTAAAAAAAATGTAAAAACACTATACAAATAGGAGGTATTATGTTACTGTCAAATTATTTACGTTATTGCATTTTATACTCATTAGATATATTATATTTATCAATAGCCCGTGTAGATATCGGGTGTTATGTTCAGATTTAGAACCGTTGAATATAAATTATTTGATTAAAATATTATATTTTCATAATAATAAAATAATATTGTACCTATACTCGCTATTGATCTTACTTGGCACGAATTCAAGTTTGTGCTTTTAATATTAAACATGTGACGAAATCTAACATATAATAATAATATCTTAAACAAATTGTTATCCGGGCAAAAAAATTAATATTATAAAGACGCAATACACGAAATATGTATTGTTTCGAATCGTGCATGCCGTTCTGTTGTCCGCTCAAAAACGGTTTCCATACAATTATTATTCGGGT